GTGGCGGACGTTTTGGGGCTTCTCTGGTATAGCCACAACAGGTGTATAATACCATGATATATTGGGCTCCAGCATCTTGATGATGGGGTGCTGAGGTCCTCTCCCGTCCATGTAATTTGGAGGGTTTATGAGCAGTAGAGTCAGGAAAGCCGTCCAAAAATTTTTTTGGGGAAAGGTCATATAAAGACTTTGATTTGAGGTGTCCTATGAAGAGTTTGTGCACCCTCATCTCTTGTAACTGAGCCCTCCCCACTTAGGAATGTGTGCTGTACAGCAGTCTTGGGGGCCCCACTACCTTTGTCATAGTGGTGATGGGTGCATATTCCATGAGAGGCCCCCAAGCTCTAGGTGTCCTTGGTATCCGTCTGTTATAGCAGATGAGGGGGGCACATGTCATCCTCTATGATATCCACCTCGTCATCCGCTTCATCTCTCAGGTACCGGCTCTGGCTGTTTGGGTCCTTGTCCATATCGGCTCCGGGATTGTCCCCGAGTTCTGTGTCGCTGGAGCCGGGGTCTAGGGGTCCCTCGCTGGATGGGGCTTTACTGTCATCTTGGGTTTTTCTCAGCTGCTTTTTGTGCTTCATCCTCCGGTTTTGGAACCAGGTTTTCACCTGCAGAACGGCAGGAAAAAAATATTTTTGTGAATACAAACACAGAACAAAAAGATAGACATATTATAGAGGGTTACCTGTGTCTCTGACAGGCTGAGTGCAGTGGCTAGCTCCACTCTTTCTGGGGTGGACAGGTAACGCTGCAACTCAAACCGTTTCTCCAGTCCTGAGAGTTGTGAGTCCGAGAACACGGTGCGAGCTTTCCTCCTCCGACAATGCTTCCCCGGCAGCTCACTGTGATGGGGGAATAGGGCAGGCATGGGGAGACCTGGAGGGAGGTTGTCACAAATTTATAATCATCAGATACAACTCCAGCAGACAATCTCTCAGTAACTGTGACCAGATAGGTCCATAAATATCCATTCATGTATTATCCACAATATTCATCAAACTGTATAAACCTACGAGGCATTTTCTTCATTATTTCCTACATAGATTCTGAGTATTTTGTTCATCAATCTCTCAATATAAGTTGGATATTTCTCATCAATCCCTAGATACCTCCCGTGTATTGTAGAGCAACAATCAAATACTAGACATTTTAATATTCAGCTATATGTGTATACATGCTATATATATATATATATATATATATACTACATCAATTGTCTATACATACCATGTAAAATGTTATCAGTTATATATACTTCAATTGGACATTGCAATATTTCTATGCATACATATGAATACATTTATGTACATTTAGGTACGTATATTATTTATGTGTGTTTAACCAAACAGTTATACCAAACACTATTATAGTTACACTGTTTTTACACTGTACTGCACACTATAATTACCTATCTACTTGTTAGCTTTTATATTTGAAAATCCTATATTTATATTAAATACATATTAAATACATAAATTATATACATATGTATATTTATATTAAAATCCAAATTTATTTAATGTAATATGATGACAGTTGTCTATTTACGCCTTTGTTATTAGTAATGTAGGTTTGCTGTAAAGAGTGCCCAGCTCTATGTATGTATGTATATTTCCTGTAAATATTTAATGTAGATTTTATATATATATATATATATAAAATAT